GTCTGCATAAAGTCAACTGTGAGGAGAAAATGGGACAAACGGGCTTATTTGACTGAAAAAGAGAAGACCAAAGGGCAGGGCAAGAGAATCACAGAATCACAGAATAGTAGGGGTTGGAAGGGACCACTGTGGGTCACCCAGTCCAACCCTCCTGCCCAAGCAGGGTCACCTACAGCAGGCTGCACAGGACCTTGTCCAGGCGGGTCTGGAATATCTCCAGAGAAGGAGACTCCACAACCTCCCTGGGCAGCCTGTTCCAGTGCTCCGTCACCCTCAGAGGGAAGAAGTTCTTCCTCATGTTCAGACGAAGAAGTCTGCTTGTGCATAAAATGCTTCTGAAAGGAAGGAAATAATTTGTTCTTCGTGTTCAGGATATAGACAACAAGAAGCAATGGGCTTAAATTGAAGGATGGAAGATTGAGGTTAGATCATAAATTAAAAAAAGAAATTCTCCTGGTGCAGCTTGTGAAGCACTGGAGTAGATTTTATGGGAAGGTTCCTCAGAGGTCTTTCAAGAAGATTAGAAGAGCTGCTGTCGGCAGTGAAGTGGGCACATTTCCTCCTGCTCTGGATGGACCGGCTGACCTTTGGAGCTGCCCCTGAGCCGTGCCATTCTGTGAGAGTGGGAGATCAGCAAGAAGGAAACGCAGGCTCAAAGCCCGTAAATTGTGTGTTGAAGTGGAGGTTGATGGACCTGTTTTCTGTTCATCGCGCTACAGTTTGATCATGACGTTCCTTAGCAGTTTGCTCGCCTTTTGTGCCTCAGTTTCTTCGCTGCGCACTGGGTGATGATTTCCTCCTCTTCCTGAAAGATTTGCAGGATCTCTACCGAGACGTCGAGTGTGTCTGCCCAGCTCCCTCTGCGCCCGCGCACGAGTGGTGAGTCAGGGCTGTGGGACTGCTCGGCGCTCCACGTCTGCTGGGCTGCACCGGTGTTGTGTTAGCACTAAATGGAGGAACTTCCCTGCTTTCGTTGTGTATTTGTCTCAGCTGCAAAATAAATGTAGCAATTCGTTTTTCTATTTGTTTTAAAATGGAAGAATCTTAAGCAAAAACTAATTTTTTTTAGGTAATGCTTTCCTTTAAAATATACTGTGGAGAACTCTATCCCAAATAAGGATTCGTTTTACCTTGATTTTCACATACATTCAAACTGAAGCAGAGGAAGTTCTGTCTGAACATGAGGAAGAACTTCTTCCCTCTGAGGTGACGGAGCCCTGGCCCAGGCTGCCCAGGGAGGCTGTGGAGTCTCCTTCTCTGGAGATATTCAAGCCCCGCCTGGACAAGGTCCTGCGCAGGGACAAGGTGGCCTGCTGTAGGTGACCCTGCTTTGGCAGGGGGTTGGACTGGGTGACCCACAGAGGTCCCTTCCAACCTTGAACATTCTGTGATACCATTCTGTGATCTTTGTGGCTCCTAAAAGGTTTCTGGAAAGCAGCAGCGCCGTCTGTTCCCTGCAACTCCTAACAGCCCGCTGACGCTGCCGTCAGGCTCCTAAAGCGCTGTGTGGAGAGAAAAGGGCTGAGGTTCCCGCTTTCTGGACGGGACCTGCTTGCTTGCTCGTGTTGCTCTCTCTCTGGCAGTGGGATCAAGCAGCTGCCAAGTGCCGCTCGCACCGGAGCTGCCTCTGCCCTGCCTGCGTCCCTCTGCTCCAGAGCCGTCCGCCTCCGGGCTGGAGAAGGGAGATGCTCGCTGTCTGATGGCCAAGCTTTAGAAATTATCTCATCATGACTAACGTGAGATTTATCACAGGCAAACCGGCAAGGAGGAAGGAAATTGTGGCTGTTCCCGACTCCGTTTTTAAGGCGGGATGTAAACGATGAATCTTCAGCTGAAGCCTGAATCAGAGCAGGGCAGATCAGTACAAGAGTTTTGAGATTTGGGGTGGGGCTTGTGTGTATTTTCTGACTAGAGAAGAGCACTTCGTCTGCAGTGACCCAGCCATGAAAGAGACTTCCTTAATGCACTCTCAGTTGTATAGATGTAGAATATCAGATTTTTTTTCTACAAAAACAAGAAACAAACTC